ATATTCCCGTACGAATTGATGCTCACGACAGCGGATCGATAAATAATCAATCGGCGACTATCATGCCGGGGCGAATCGGCCAAATCGTCGCGTCAAAAACACGGGACGACAGCGGGATGGCTGGCCGATGGCGACAGCTGCCAACAACGCGTGCAATTTTATGTATCGCGAGTACAGCGGCCGACGAGACGGGGCTGCGGCAACGGCGCGGCGTAATATATATTGCAATGTTTTTCGTCATATAAAAAATACATGGACATTGTCCGGCGCGACGCGACAATCTGCGAGAGCGTCAAATCCATCATCGGCCGTCCGCCCGGATATTACGCGTGACATACTAACGAATACCAAAAGGAGCGGTTTCATAGCGCCGTGCCTACGACAAATGTTATCAGACGTGCATGCATGACGTTGATTAATGCGTGAGGAGTCCGCGAGGAAGATCAAAATTTCGATCTGCAAGCGAATCTTTCGAAACGAGTGCGCTTATCAACAAACAGCTTGGATCAAGCATCGAAGCATCGGACGCTGTCCTTTCGCTGCGCAAAGGAGAATCGACGTGAAAAGGAGACGTGCCTTCTCTGCAATTTTGTGAACAAAAAATCGTTCTCCAGGAGGATCGCGTAGGTTTAAGGCCGCGAAGGGGGGAAAAACGGAGATTCGTTTTATCTCGATCCAGGTAAGAACCGGGATTAACAGGCTGAAACTCAGGGCCGATCTTCCCGTCGTCTTTTCATACGTTTTTTTAAGCCATCCGGAAAGTGCGCGGGTCAACCGAGTGTCCGTGTGCCACTGTAAAATTCAAATTCCACGGGCCATTCCCGCCGGGAAGAAAGAGGCGGAGGGCCGAAGCGACGTCGCCTGTACCCGTCCGAGTGCAGGAAATCCGCCACTCCGCCGACTGGGTGTTCCCGGGACGTGCGTCGACTTCTTCTGCGGGTTTAATTCACGGTCTACGTCAACTGATTGCCACCCACCCTCCGCATCGCATAGGTCGACGTGTTGGTCCATTATGCGCGCTCGGTCTAATTGTAAGCGATAAACGTGTACTCCGACGAGCAATGCGCAAGGAGATTAATCGCCAAACGGATTTTCGACCAGCAGCAGATTTCTTTTAACTATAACCATTTTGTCCTCGCTAATATGTTTTCCTTTGAAGTGTGACCAGGATGTTGAGATTCGTAAGTGGTACGTTAATTACGTGAGTTTACGATTACAAAATTCTATCATTTCTGTCGTTGCGTTGGTCACTCACGCGTTATTATACAGTTTTTATATAATCCTTACACCTCTGTGTGCATAAAAAAATTCTATGCAATTTTTATCTGTTATTGTTCAATGTATTATAATCATTTAATTGTATATAGCTTAAATTTTAACTTTTTATTTAGCACTGTGCTGATTTCTAAATCATTTCAGACTTCCTTAGCTTTTAATTTACAGATTAGATGTCTGCTTCCGATTTTTGTAGTTAACGCATTTCCACATTTCAATTTTCTAACGAAATCCTTTCCAACTACATGTCGATAGTTCCTCATGTACAAACTCGTCAGTTCCTCCCGTTTACCTCGAAACTGTTCTCCAGCAGAGGACTGCTAGAACCTATATATCTAGAAACTGCTATTTTCCGCCCTATTTGACCCCTCGTTTTCTCCCCTTAGAAACTATTGCAAAGAACGATTGGCCCCAGGCTAAGCGTCATTTTAAAGCGAGTCGGCCGGCCAGTTAGCTGGTAAATAGCCGAATGCTGCATGAGCTTAGGATCTCCCGTGTCGTTCATCCTTTATGAAAATGACAGTTATACACGAATATAATGGAATGACCTACAGAAGTGAAAATACATTCTATTGTCGGGGCTACGTGCGCGGAGTTTTATTGTAAAACTCAATAACAAAGTTTAAGAGAACAGAATTGTTATTGAACAAACTAAGAGAGCACGGGAAAGTTTTATAATGATGATGGAAACGGCATTCTAATTTTCATGGCTGCGAGCAAGAGGTAGGGAAAAGTGCGCTTGAAATAAGAAATTCAAGGTAGTCGCATGATTATACTGTTCTACGTAATTTTTAGTTCCCCCTGCCTGCTTCCGCGCTGTTCCTTTTACAATATCCGTGGATATTAATAGAGAACCGTGACGAAGTCGTTTATTAATTCTGAGAGACTCTTAATTTAGAAATTCCATTTTTTTTCGGAAATCAAACATCAATTAGATTGGACTATTTAGAAGTTTTAGCGCGACAGCAAAGGGTCAATTTAACATAATTTGTTTTCTTCCATAGGGTGTGAACGGTCTTAATTATAGAGTTATTCCTTACGAACATGACATAAAAAGTTCTCTTATCCTTCTAAGGACAAGGTAGTTTTTTCTGCGTCGTGCATCGTAGCCATTAGTGATGAAACGCAAAAAACTCCAGAAACGAAAAGTGTCGTAACTCCTTTGCATTTTGAAAGATGAACAAATCTTCGGTTATCATCCATCGTGTCATATTCCTCTTTAGACCTCGAACTCGTGATTAGTTTGTCTCTAAAGCTGTCCATAAAGTGGCGTTTCAAAACCTTAAAAGATTCCTCCAACACTTGACTGCCGGCCATTGTGACACACAAAATATCTAAGCGTACTATTAAATACTCTTAACTTGGACTTTCTACATAAAGACAAATCAACGACATACCCGACTAGTTTCGTCAATCAATCGCTCATTGCAATCACACAATTTTATTACATAAATCAATCTTCCGTTCATTAATAATGTACGCATGTATGTCCGATCTGCAGAGGAACTACTCCCTTCAACCTAAAGAAAATCCAACAATTTCAGAAGAAAGTTCTACGTATTGCAAGAATAGCACGATGGTTCATGAATCTCACAGCTGCACCAAGAACTAGGTGTGGAAGAAAACTATATTCTAAAAACAATTTTTTTCACCTCCTTAAATCAATCCCAAAGTGCAGTCAATTAAGAATTTCCGATCCTCCATTCCACCGAATTTTAAATTGATACCCACACAAATACAGATTGTAGACCTTCCTTAACTCCTTTCCACACACGAATTATTTAATAATTAATGCGATTCTTTTTACATTTGTATAATTAGAGTAAAAACTTAACAGTTGAATGTAATCTAATTGGTATTATACATTTCAATTTGTCACAATACACTCTACAACAATCCATGTGAAACGACCAGCGCTGATCTCGGTAATACATAAAACCAAGTAGAGCTGTTACGTTTCTGCTACCGCCGGGGATGGGAGGCAAAATGGAAATAAAAAATAATTGGGTCGCTGTAGATAAGGCGCTACTTCGCAACCCTTTTTCCTGTATCTAAGAAATTGCCTTGAAGCTCCGCCACCATTTGCATCAGCGACGACTATTTCGAGAGCAGATACAAGAGCTCCGATGGAGAACAAGGACAAGCGGTTTAATAGGGCGGTAAGTAAATGAGTCTCCAGATATCAGTTCGTTGGCAGAGAATTCTTATTTCGCTTCGCAGAAACGTGCAGTGAATATTCTATTGTTTGATCTCCTGTCGTTTCGACTTAATTATATAAACCGTGCACCTGATTGTTACGTGAAAAATACGATTATTCATGACGCAGAGAAAAGGTATAATGAATTGCACATAAATTTACATCACATATCTATCGATAAATTTAAATAATATAATCAACATTCCAAATCAAAGATATCTTCCTTTATTAACGCAACGTTTCGGCCATCGGTTTTGGTCCTTATCAAGTGCAGTCAAACTAATTCAAACGACGCATGGCACGTGGTCAAATGCCATCGGACACCACTGTATAAAACAATGAAAAACGCAGGGTTACATTGTGTGCCATATGCAAAAAGACTCATAAAAGGAGAAACATAATGATACGTAGTTTTTAAAAAACGACTTACACTGGCCAATGTTTTTATTTAAAAAACATACGACGTTTCGGTCCCGGATTTGGACCCTTTTCAAGTAATCTTTTCACACAATTGTTATTGATCTCATATCGTTCGTTTGGTTCGATCCGACATCTCGTCTAACACACATCTCTCGATATTTTTACTCGTGTCGTACAATTAACAACATGCAACTTCAATTGACTCTGCACTCTTCAACCAAGGAGTGCATTCATTTTCCGACCAATATCTTATTAACATAACGATATTGGCCAAACGAACGGTATGAGATCAATAACAATTGTGTGAAAAGATTACTTGACGTTTGTGTTTTTAAATAAAAACCTTGGCCAGTGTAGGCCGTTTTTGAAAAACTATCATTGATTTTATGTTACTGGCGATATTAATTCTATTTGTGAGACGAAATATAAATCAAATAAATAGATCAAATAGATACATACATTGAAATTATTAATACGCACAAATTGTATCGCCCTAGACACGTGTCATCGCTGTAACAGCGAGGAACTGAGATTGAAACTATGTGGGTCAACGCGGTGTCAACAAAGCCACAATTAAGAACTATTAATTTTAAATTTGACGGTAATATTTTGCAATGTTCTTAATTATTGGTTTCTTGACACCGCGTTAGCCTATATATAGTTTCAGTCTCAGTTCCGAGCTGTTACAGAGCGATCTAGAGCGATACAAGTTATTAATAATTTGAATGTACGTATTTATTTCATATTTAATTAATATTTTTCTTTTATAAGCCTTTTTGCATATAGCACACAAGTCTGTAACCCTGCGTTTTTTATTGTCTTATACAGTGGTGCCCGATGGCATTTGACCACGTGCCATGCGCCGTTTAAATTAGTTTGATTGCACTTGATAAGAGCCAAAACCCATGGCCGAAACGTTGTGCTAATAGAGGAAGTTTTCCTGTTGCCAGTGGTGTCGGATTATTCACCTTAATTAATTTAATTTTGCTGACGGTTGAATATCTTAAATTTGGTTTAAAAGATATCTATCTTAATAAGGTCTGCTACCATGCTTTCCTCCGTACGATATTGATATTCACGATTACAAAAATTTATATGAACAAATGTGACGTGCAGCCGCGTCAGAGTAAATTACTTCGAAGCATTATCTTAAAAAATGGACCATAACTGCGTATATTCGAGCTGAGACATGACGACATGAATAGAAATACTAATTACTGCAATTGCAGGTAGAACAGACAAAATAGGTACACAAGAAGCGTTAAAACTGGTTGTAAAATTACCTATTTTTCTGTCATAACGTATTTGTTACGTAAGTACATGTAATTAGTACATTTTGTATATTTTATTAGTTGCATAGTCTTGTTGCATTAAATAGACCATAAGTGGGAAAGAACACTATAAGAAGATCTCGCTTGCAATGTGTGGCTTATTTCCCGTTTTGAATATTGCTCCGCTAACATAGTAGGCAGTTTTGATATTTATATCCAATTAGCAACGTTTTAATTTATAAAATACGGTGCCGTAAGTCAACCTTTATATTTATTTCTGCACTTGTAATTTATATATGTTTCTTCTTAATTATCATTATTCATTGAATCTAATGAAATATTGAATATTTCTATTCTGCAGCTTTATTCATTTTTTTTAATCACTCATAATCTTGACGCTCGTTTCCTATATATGCATATTTCTCTCTATTTCTTTTCATGTATTTTATTATCATGCTGTTTAATTATTAGGCATTGTATGAACTTCTCGCACGCGATATGTTGTACATGAATTATTTATGTCGCAATTCTTATAATTTCTGTTTAAATGAAAAAAATAATAACAAAAGCTTGGTTCAACGAGAAGGAGTTAGATTTAATTCGAGAGCTTTAATATAAAATAATATGTACAACTTAAGTAGTCCCTCGGTACTCGCGGAACTCTTGGCGCGATTCTGTCTCTACCGCGCACGTCTTATCTCTTTCGTCTCTCGCACACGACTCTACACTAGTCCCTCTCTCCAAAGGCCAGCCGTAGTTAGCCGATGTCACGCGCGCGAAGATCGGTCGTCAAACTTAACACCCTACACTTTTTGTTATAAAATGTGCTCCTCAAATTTTATCGATCGACAGTCGGATCGCTCCCGACTGAAATTCATGCTACTTAGAAAAGGCAAAGCAATAAATTGTTAAATGTTTTTAGGAAATCGTTTATATTAAATATTCCATTGTGATATACGTTTGAAATGACACGATTTACTTTCGACGAAATAAAAATCTTTGACGATACAATGAATGATAGAGATATCATAAGCACTACAACTAGCGCAGAATACGAGGAAACAGCTTTCTATATCGTGGACATTGGTAACATCATAAAGAAACATCAGGAATGGACCACCAAGTTACCTAGAGTTATCCCGTACTTCGGTATCTATATATTTAATTTTGACGTTATCAAAAATACATTTCCACTTATTCCGACATGATGTTAATACCATTAATTAATTATAATTTTATAACTTTATAATTTTCAACGCTATTAATTTTATTCTCAATCCTAGCAATTAAAGTTAATCCGGATCCAACGGTAATTAAAGTTCTAGCAGCTTTAAATGCCTGTTTCGACTGCGCATCCAAAGTAAACTTTCAAATCTCTTTTAACCATTTACCAAAAATATATTTCAAAATAATCGTAACCTCTTTTCAACAGCAAGAAATAAAGCAAGTGATGCAGCACGGAGTGCAGGGCGACCGGATTATTTTCGCACACCCTACTAAGTATTCATCTCACATAGAATATGCAAGGAAAATGGATGTCAAGCAAATGACGGTCGATAGCGAAAGCGAGTTGTACAAAATCAAGGATATATTCCCTGAAGCTAAGTCAGTAATATAATGGGATTTAGTAACCACCGTTTTCGTCTATTAAAAAATTTACCGAATGCTTCCGTGCAATAGTATCGTCATACGTGTGCGCTGCGACGCGAGAAAGACAGCGGTAAATCTGGGATTAAAATTCGGTTCCGAACCGAACGAGGAAACCGTGCGTTTGATTCAGCTCACGAAAGACCTAGGTTTGAATTTACACGGCTTTAGCTTCCACGTCGGTAGTCCATGCGAGGAGCTCGAGGCTTACGCCAGAGGGATCGCATTGTGCAAACAATTAGTTACCATCTCCAAGACACTCGGGTGCGACAAGGTGCAGTTGATCGACATCGGCGGTGGATTTCCGGGCGAGAGTGGAACGGACGTTGACACGGTATATAAATATATAGTTACTCTCCGATAACCATCATCTTCTTTTCATCAGGAAGATGTTAGATTAAAACGTCAGACGTAAAAGCACTCATATAGATATGAAACAATCAAACAAAATGGAGTTTTTCGAGTTTCTAATAATAAAAAAAACAACTTTTAAACAGATATAACAATAATCAAAGTTTTGAAACATCTTCATCCGCATAGTTCTCTTATTGTAAACCTTTCAGTTTGCCAGTATTATCAATAAGGCGATAAAGGGTATCGATCCTAGCATAAAGATTATCAGCGAACCGGGAAGCTACTACGTAACTTCCAGCTTCACTTTAGTCTCGTATTTGCATTCCAAGCGAATCATTCCGAAGGACGGAGCAATGATGAGAATGTATTACATGAATTGTGGAGTGTATCATTCCTTCATAGACGACCTGTTGGGCGTGAAGGCTAGGATCCCACAATTACTTTCCGAGGTAACGTTACATTTCACTCAGCACGTGTACGAAAGAGTTTCTTAATTAATGAAAGCAATTGTTATAATCTATCGCAGCCTGCGAGTGAGGAGAAATTCCTTTCAAGTGTATGGGGACCGACGGCCGACTCGTTTGATGTAATTGCCCAGAATGTGATGTTGCCTGAGCTTGATATAGGCGATTGGTTAATTTGGAGAGATATGGGTGCTTATACAATAGCTCTAGCCTGTCCATTCAATGGATACCCGATTCCAATTGTGATTCCTGTCATCAGAAGGAGCCAATGGTACTGAGACAAAATGAGATATACAGAATTCCTAACAACGCTATCGTTCTCTTATTCGTTATCAATTTGTATAAATTATATTTGTATAAATTATATTGTTAATATTTTCAGGGAAAGCTTTAAAGCGCAAATTAACTCGATGTAAAAGCTTTTATTTTCACAAGTCGAACGAACAATATAACTCGATGAAAATAATTGAAGGAATAAATTCTTAATAAAATTTAAACTGTTCCACACATAGAGTTAACGAGCATATTATAGATTTAATTCTATATTCTTCAAACAAGTAAGTTGTAATCCATAATGGACGGCTATCTTTGTGAGAAAAAGTTTTCAGTTCAATTCTGAAAATTGGACACTGATGTATGACTAATTAGCAGGTATGTTATCTGTAATGTTTTAGTATGAATTAGGCATTATTACTAGCCAAAGTGTAGAAATATAGAATGAAATAAACAATTGTATTAATAATTATACTTGTCGTGTATTTTGTCACAGCTAGTATAAATTTTTCACGATTCCTGTCATACAATTTTACTCTTCTGTATATTTTAATGCATTTAAGTATGTGTTCTCTTGTTTTTATTCTATATATGTAAACTATAACCCAACCTTATTTTCCTATCTACATTTCTCTCTATACTTTTCTGTTGTACTTTCTATCATTTTGTTTAATTATTAGGAATTATGTAAACTTCTCGCACGCGATATACCGTACCTACATCAATTATTTATTTCGTGATTTTTGTAATTTCTTGTTATAAACCAATGCGCTCCTCAAATTCAATCTACAGTCGGATCGCTTCCGACAGAAATTTATACAGTTTAAAAAAGACAAAGCAATAAATTGTTAAATGTTTTCAGGAAGTTATATTAAAGATTCCTTTGCAATAGACGTTTTAACATGGAACGATTTAATTTTGACGAAATAAAAATCTTTGACGATACAGTATATGATATAAATATCATAAAAACTTTAACTAGCACGAATGACAAAGAAACAGCTTTCTATGTCATGGACATTGGTAACATCATAAAGAAACATCACGACTGGATCACCAAGTTACCTCGAGTTATCCCACACTTTGGTATCTGGATAATAGATTTTTATATTCTCAATAATATACTTTCTCTTGCTACATTAATTTTTAATGTTATTAATTAACCCTGGCTGAGGTGATATTTTTTCGCAATAAATTTAGAATAAAATATTTAGACACTAACACTCTGTCACGGCTCTTAGTCCTCTATTCATTCAAATTTGTGGTTATTAATTTTATTTTAAATTCCAGCAGTTAAAGTTAATCCGAATCCAACGGTAATTAAAATTCTAGCAGCTTTAAATGCCTGTTTCGACTGTGCATCCAAAGTAAATTTTCAAATCTCTTTTAACCATTTACCAAAAATATATTTCAAAATAATCGTAATCTCTTTTCAACAGCAAGAAATAAAGCAAGTGATGCAGCACGGAGTGCAGGGTGACCGGATAATTTTTGCGCATCCTGCTAAATATTCATCGCACATTGAATATGCTAGGACAATGAATGTAAAGCAAATGACAGTCGACAGCGAAAGCGAGTTGTACAAGATCAAGGATATCTTCCCTGAAGCTAAGTCAGTAATATAATGGGATTTATTAACCTCCGTTTTCGTCTATTTAAAAATTTACCGAATGTTTCCGTGCGATAGTGTCGTCATACGTGTGCGCTGCGACGCGAAAAACGCACTATTAAAATTGGGATTAAAATTCGGTTCCGAACCGAACGAGGAAACCGTGCGTTTGATTCAGCTCACGAAAGATCTCGGTTTGAATTTACACGGCTTTAGCTTCCACGTCGGCAGCCCGTGCTGGGAGCACGAGGCTTACGCCAGAGGGATCGCATTGTGCAAACAATTAGTTGCCGTCTCCAAGGCAATCGGGTGCGACAAGGTGCAGTTGATCGACATCGGCGGTGGATTCCCGGGCGATAGCGGAACGGACATTGACAAGGTACATAAATATATAGTTACTCTCCGATAACCATCATCTTCCTTTCATCAGGAAGATGCTAGATTAAGATGTTAGACATAAAAGCACCATTATATAAAAAAAAATGAAACAAAAATAGTTCTCGAAATTATCTAGCAATAAAAAATCGATTTGAAGCCGGGTTTATAACAATGAATACAATTTTGAAACATCTTCGTGTCTGCATAGTTCTTTGAATAATATAATATTTATTGTAAATCCTTCAGTACGCCAGTGTTATCAATGACGCGATACAGGATCTCGATCCTAGCATAAAGATTGTCAGCGAACCGGGGAGGTACTACGTAACTTCCAGCTGCACTTTAGCCTCATATTTGCATTCCAAGAAAATCATTCCGGAGGACGGTGCAATGATGAGAATGTATTACATGAATTGTGGAGCATACCATTCCTTCGCGGAAGAACTCTTGGGCGTGAGGGCTAGGGTCCCACAATTACTTTCCGAGGTAACGTTACATTTCACTCAGCACGTGTACGAAAGAGTTTCTTAATTAATGAAAGCAATTGTTATAATCTATCGCAGCCTGCGAGTGAGGAGAAATTCCTTTCAACCATATGGGGACCGACGGCCGACTCGTTTGATGTAATTGTCCAGAATGTGATGTTGCCTGAGCTTGATATAGGCGATTGGTTAATTTGGAGAGATATGGGTGCTTATACAATAGCTCTAGCCTGTCCATTCAATGGATACCCGATTCCAATTGTGATTCCAGTCATCAGAAGGAGCCAATGGTACCGAGACAAAATGAGATATACAGAATTCCTAACAACGCTATCGTTCTCTAATTCGTTATCAACGGTTTGTATAAATTATATTGTTAATTTTTTCAGGGAAAGCTTTAAAGCGCAAATCGACACGATGTAAAAGCTTCTATTTTCACAAGTAGATCGAACAATATAATTTGATGAAAATAATTAAACGAATAAATTCTTACTAAAATTTTAACTGTTCCACACATAGAGTTAACGAGCATATTATAGATTTAATTCTATTTTCCTCAAACAAGTAAGTTGTAATCCATAATGGTTGGAGAGGAACTCAACTATTACGTATACATGCATCATTGCTAACTAAAATGTGGAGGAATAAAATAAAATAAACACTTCTATTAGTAATTATAATGTTCAGGTATTCAGTCATGCCTATCTTCGTGATAAAATGTTTTAATAATTAGACATTGATGTACGACTGATCTCTGTGTATTTGTTGAATTAACAAATACATTTATTTGAAATCGGATTAAGTATTTTGAAATGACCGTTTGTTAATTAAAACATGAGAACTAATCAAGCTCCTTACCAATTAGTATAATTTATCGTCAAATAGAGAAACCGTTGGGTCTCCCTCTTCGACGCTATCTTCAAAAGCAGAACGTCTTTTGTAAACGACCAAAGAGAAGCAAAACATTAATAAACTTGCTTGCGAGATTTCTGTGTGTCAGCCAAACAGCTGATTACTGTGACCGTCAAATGGAGAAACCATTAGGTTTTCTTCTTCGACGCTATCTTTAAAAGCATAACATCTTTTGCAAACGACTGAAGAGAAGCAAAACATTAATAACACTTGCTGCGAGATTTCTGGGTGTCAGCCAAACAGCTGATTATTATGATCGTCAAGACGTGACGAACTGTGACATTGTGGTTACGTTAATGTACTTTTTGGAAAAGCTTGATAATAAAAGATCAACATCTCAGGTATATCATACTATCCGTGTCAGTCGGTCAGTCGTCAGTTCCATCGGGCGTACTTATTTTTGGTACTCCATGTATCTTTTTTGTCCGTAGAGAGTTAAACTGTAGAAAGATAACGTAAACGCGTATATTAATAGGTATACATGCTTTAATTGTTATCATCTGTTTTTTAAATATATTATACGTTTATATAATTTATTAGATTTAGAGATTTCGCACTCTAATCATCCTGCGTTGTGAAACCCGTGAATACTTTCGTTTTCTGTTAAGATGCTTCTCGGAAAGCAATTTCTCGTTTCGATTTTAATTATAACAAAATTTATTTTTATTAAGTATTTTTTCATAAAGATTCAAAGAAGATCACGTTGGAATGTAGAATAAATATAGGTATAAAGAGACGAACTGAGAGAAAGGCAAGTACAAAAACATATGTGTACGTTTAAAAAGGTATAAAAAATATTTTTCTAGCGTAAGTATGTATTGTATTGACGACAGTTTTGCATACAACCAAAGTTGTAATCCGATTCGTACGATTTCATTTCAAATGCATGAAATTAATGACTGTTATTCATCAACTACGTTAATTATGTAAGTACTAAGGATTATTCATTTATTATATTTTTGTAATTGTTTTAGCACATATCACTCCTGTATTTGTCCCACCGTCACGGCTGTAAACGCGCAAATTATACGAACGATATAATTGATTAAATGCATATAATATAATCGCGACAATGAAGAAGGGCGGTAAGCTTTCGGCGCGTGTGTATGGATACGCGAGTGATTTATAAACGGCGAGTAACGTAAACAACCCTGCGATTACGTACACGGCCGGGTCACATTACATTATAACTATCCGGCTAATCTTTATTCCCAACAATAAACCGCGGCGGCGCAGATAAGAACCGCGGCCGAGGCAGACTATAAAAAGTACATAGCTTCATCCCGAATTGCGCGCCTTTTAATGAGCACCGAGCAAAACGAGCGGAAGTACGTTCCATATTTCATCGCGGCTGAGAAAACTCACCCACGCTCTCAGCCCCATTGACATCGATTCTCGCTCCGCTATCTTTCATCTTTATCGCAAATCCCCGTAACAGTCGTTTAGAGTTGAGTGGCACAAACGACTGCCGCGTTTATCATTTGCAGATACCGTACAGAGAGGCGACTGTGTCCATAAATCTTTCACAAGATGATTGTAATTTTCTTTATTCTAATAATGACTTGTATAAATATTGTAAATCGAAATGACGCCGCCATCCACTTTGAGCCTTAGCCTTGTGAATTCGAGATTACGTTTTCATATTTCTCAACAGTTTAGGATTTTTAACGACTGCAGATTTGTTACGCTCAAACCTCGATATCTCAGAGAATCTTACAAATTTAAAATTCTATGAAATTATATAAATGTATGGACACTTTTAGAAATTTTATAAAAATTTAATAATTTTTATAAAATTACATTTTGGATTGTCATCGCCACCGTCATTTCCTCTGGGAAAATCAGATATTCCTTAGAACAATCATCATGTGTAGACGGGGGGGGGGGAGAATTTTCTCTAAAAATTTACCCTGAAAACCATGTAATCGTGAGACAACATGCATTTTAAGAACTTTGTAACATTTTATTAGCAATTATATTATACTTAGTACACATTTTATTAATAAAATGTATGGTAAAATTTCAAAAAACTCTCATAAAGCTTTTCAAAATGCGAAATTGTCCTACGATCACATCATTTTCAGGATAAATTTTGAGAGAAAATTCTCTCCGTGTATACGGACACGTCCGAGGCGATCGAGCGTGCCAAACGGCAGAATAAGATCGGCCTCGTTGTCTCTGTCAGGTCATTGATTTCGCGACGTCCATTTCACCCCTCGTCTCAACTCGGCCCTTTTTTTCCCTTCTCTGCCCATTTCCGATGTCCCTCCCCCATTCCCGTCGGGAGAGACTCGGGCGAGCCGGGCACTAAGTATGCATAGCCCGATTTCCGGGTGCCGGGTACGCGCTTGGACTTCACCTCTGCCCCACGGGTCGGTCCGTAACTAGTTGGCACGACGCCATGCATAGAAGCGCGCGCTAATAAGTATACCGGCTTTGGTAGCGGTATCGTTACGTCCCGCTAATATCCCAGTGGCTGACAAATGCCGCGATAGCCGCCACCGTCAGTATCCGTTCGCGCCCTTGTCTCGACTCGCGGTCCTCTTTTCACCCGCTCGGGCACCTTTGTCTCGTATCGATTCGAACGGAAGTGATCTTTTACTTCGGATTAATACAGAGGTACACTTGGTACACATATACCTTGCAACGTCACCGAATGTGTTTCATCTTTTCGCCAGAGGATCAATGGATTCGTTAAAGAAAGGCAATTCCAAAGTGTTTCAGCGAACGTGATTAACTCGTACACGATTAACGTGATAAATAAAAATGTGCAATGTATATATCGAATCTATCTCGGGAGTTCTTCCGCTATGGAATTGCATCCACCGCGAAAATCGCTTATTGGATTACACGTGGCAAAACTTGAGGGGGAGGAAAATATCGCCCGGCGCTGATACGAGGGCGAATATGAAAGATAAGGCTGGATTACGTGCGGCGATCTATCGCGAGTTGAGTTTTCTAGATTAACCCTTTTGCGCTCGCAGATCCAACCGGGTTAACCCCGATCGAGCATTCGGGGCGTTCTACCCTCCTTCTCTTCTCTCTTTGGCCTGCGGCTTGATTGGCTTCCCCGCAGTTTTCACGGAGAAAATGGCGAATCGGCTGTCAACCCACTGCAAATACACGCGGATTCGCGATGGATTAAGAATAATCGGGGTCGCGAAGGCCATCGCGATGCGACCAGCTCGTCTTTTCCCCCCCCCCCGATCTGCCGCCCTCTCGTTTTACGCCCGAACGTTGTATTTTCGGCGAGAGGACCAATTTCATGCGCGTCACGCTGTGAATGACGCTGCTTTAATAACTTCGAATTGCGGTCGCGTTGAATCAATAACCGGCCGTGCACGAGCATGCTCTGCCACGAGGTCTCGTTCCGACGTACAATGCTTTCCAGGAGGAATTAGCGGGCAGCGGAGCAATAAATTTAATAAGACGCGTTGACACTCGCAGTTGGTTAGATAAGAATTATTTCGATAACAAGGAATAAAGCAGAAGATGTTATACTTATATCGTTAGCGAGCATTTCTTTCGTTTTGATGGCTTTGCGGTATTCACACGTAATCCAAATAAAAAGATAAATAGAAATATATATAATTTATTATGCTAAACACATATGACTGAATCTCGCGCAAGGTGGATCAATTGTTCTGCTCGCTTACGAAGACAGTACGCTATTTGTTCTGGTGTCCGCGTTCGTTCAAGAGATATGCTAATTGAACTCACGTTCTTTTATTGTTTTGCAGTCACCTGTGCTTTACGTTACACATTACCGCCAAGCTTCGTCAAGCCGGCGCTTCCTATTTACCTTCATTTCTGCGCAATTATTATTTCCGCGTGTCACACATCTCGATAAATTATTTATAATTAATTGTTAGGTGTCCCAACCGTATATCGCGTACAAAATGTAAAAAGCGCGGCGACTTTGTGATATTGCACGCGCACGTTGCTTACTTGTGTCACAAAGCTCGGCAAATAAAACAACGTGCGTCCGCTATTTATTTGTAATTTCAATTAACGGGTCGAGACCTGCCACATTATTTGGGGGCTTTTGGGTCCTTTGAAGTATTATTACTTCAATGGGTGATATACATTATTATGTACCGGAATACGGGTTGTAACGATCATTTAATTAATTCACGGCAAACGCGCGGTTTTGGTAAAATACAACGTTGCGCGTGGCACGCATGCAATTTATGCTTAAAAACATATCGCGAACTTTATGAGTCAACGGGCGCATGCGTCATCATCCTTTGTGAAAATTCAATCAGCTTAATTCCGCTGTGCTTACCGTGAATTAACGTTACATAACACGCGGCTGTATTTTAGAATTGCGAAAACGCAGAACGCGGCTATTAGCGCGTGGCGATTCGCTAGTAAATTCATTCTTACGAGCGTTTCATCGCAAATACAGAATACTCGACGGACATTGTGCAATTTCTTAAATTAAATTGTAGGTTACGTTTTGCAAAAAGAAAAACAAGACGCGCGAAGAGATTGATGATCAAGTTTAACCCTTCAAAAAGTATTTAGCCAAAAAAGTTATCCACACGGAT